CCGCCTAATGTTCTCAAGGATACAAACCTGTCTGATTGTGTCTTCTGCCTGAGCCATCCATGACTTCCCTCTTATCAGCCGCTGACCCTAACTGCACCCAGAGCTTTGTGCAAAGGGTGATCTGTGTCTGCAGCTACCTTGGGATATGATTTCACCTGCAGCACCTTGTACCTACCTGCAACAGTCGGCAAAGCCTCTGACATCCACCCTATCTCTGCAATGATACTTCCCGACTAAAGACACACATACTTATTGTCGACTGTAGTCAAGTATGAGATCTTCGGGTATGGGCTATTAGTTACAATCTATCCAGCTGTAGTCAACAATCAGTTAACTGGGCATAATATATCATTAAACATGTGACAGTCACATACGAATCAAGTCTATGCACATTCCTAAGGATGGATACATTCATCAGGACAACACTTCCATTGAGGGTAAAATGGTCTCAGTACCTGACAAAAATACGCCACCATTTCTGACAACTTCTAATCGTACCAGTAATGACTGATAAATAATATGGGTGGACAATCATCCTGTCCGGGACCCACTAAACCTAACTCCACTTCGCTGCGAGTTAAACCCCACTGAATACACTCCCTCACCGGACTCCTGCTTAGTGATTTATAACAATGGTTGTCATGGACCTCGTCCCGAGTTGTCTATGGTTCTGTCGTACCTTTGTCACATAACACTGGTGTCACGTGCCTTTATTAGGGTTTCCCCTAATGAACCAAAAAGACACTCTGGAGTAGTTTAAGATGTTGGCTCGCATTGGTCTAGGCGGTAACCCGCAACGCCAAAGAACATCCAACCTACTTCAACGCTGATGCGGTTCAAATTATGGCACTACAGAATCAATCAATATTCCTAGGCGCAACTTCGGCTGACTTCCCCGCTATTTTTAATTGCGCAGACTGGACAGTAATCCAGTGCTAGTCAAATTAACACAGTAAACATGAATTACAACAATACAACAGTTACTTCAGACAACGTGAGAACTGTGAACTGCTTTACTCCACACACACACACACACACACACACACACACACACACACACACACACACACACACACACACACACACCATGTAATCCGTGCAACACAAGTAAGAATGTAAAGGAATTAATTCAGCAACACAACCGATAAGGAAGGAAACAATACTCTACTCCTGATGGACTCCTGGTCTGTCCCTAGCTGCAGAAAGTATCATCATTGCTAAACTGTGAAATTTTGGACCTAGGTAACGGGCACTTGGTGTTAAGAGTGACTGCAATTGCTGGCGACCACAACTTATCTATCTAGGACGCCCTGTTCATCTGAACAGGTGGTTCTTTCAACAGTGGGCCTTAATAAGCAGGTAATAAGTTTTGTGAATTAAATAATAAACACAATGTAAAATAGTCTCTGGAGTCTGACACAAGACTTGAGTACTTGTATGTGAAGTACTATAGTGTTTAAAGTATATGGTAATGTATTCAAGGAGAAAGTTCCTTGTTACTGTTGAAATGTTCTATTTTAGACTCTATGCTACCCTCTGGTCGTGGCAGTTGTTGGCACAATGACCACATAAAAAGCTCCTGTGTCAAACTGAGGACACAAGCTGATGGTGATTATCAAAGAACAGCAGACAGTTGTCATCTCATGGAGCCACTGCCATTGGTGTGATTTGATCTGTCCCCACTCTGTCCACACTCAGCAGACGCTACTTGGTCCTTGTGTGAAGTTCAATTACATAGGAAAAAGCTATACGGAAGCGGTATGAGTTCAGACCCGGTTACTATCCATGGGAACGTGACAGGAGCGAGAGGTGCTCTCTTAAGCCCTCATTGTCTTTGTTTCAGATAGGGATACACACGACTCCTGGGACGACTGCCATTTGTTATATCTTTCTGTGCATTAAAGATTGTTACGTGCTCTGTAGGTGTTTGGGTTTAGTGTGTTTTGGATAAGGTTATCTATCAACAATACGAGCCATGTGCCGTTACGGCAGACATAAGGTGTGTGTGTGTGTGTGTGTGTGTGTGTGTGTGTGTGGTTTTCCTCCCACCTTTATTGTATACCCAAGTGGCTTCCAGTGCAAAGATATCCTAGATTAATTGTTCTCAGATGTTCTCAATGTGTGTCTTATCCAACGCCAGCGTTTTTTTCTTCACCTCTCGATTCATCCAAATTAATGATTCTGTCACACCATTAAATTCCCTCTATTCTGCGCTGGCACCAGTTAGTGATTGTTTGTAGTATTTGGTTTGATTGTTCTCTGTGTTGTTCCTATACGGTAGGTTACATGTCGTTATTCTGCTAGTAGGGAGGAATTTAAATACATGTAATTTTTGTATTAACACTTTTATGTCATTAGAATCGACGCAAGTAGATTAAATTAACTTCAATTAAAATATTAATTGGTGTGTTACTGGATGTATCAGGGAAGCAAATATTAGTGATACAGTACTTACCATGCATGTCATAAGAGAGACTGAATTTGGTTTCAGCCTGTGGTTGGCTATTTCCTCCCGTAAAACAATATAGCCACAAACACCATTTAATTATGAATATTTTAACAAGTAAAAATAAGATAACCAAGATTAGCTTACTTATGTTTTGTTATCACAATCGACGTCACTGCACATTGGGCATTCACATGCTTAGTCCTCAGATGGAGCAGCCATTCAAGGTATTTCTACTAAGTTCCCATGAGAGTTTGCTTATATTATCTCCTATCTCAGTCTCAAAGGCGGCATAGACGTGCTTCATCACGCTTTACTCCTATGTCACATAATCACGTTAGCATCAGAGATTGGTTGTTAACCACTGGCCCAGCCCGTACAGCGTTGGTGATCTCTGCTCTGTCCATGCTTCTACCAATATGCACAGGTACATTGCTTGCCAGTTGGTCCGAGAAGCAGAAGAAGAAGAAGAAGAAGAAGAAGAAGAAGAAGAAGAAGAAGAAGAAGAAGAAGAAGAAGAAGAAGAAGAAGAAGAAGAAGAAGAAGAAGAAGAAGAAGAAAAAGAAGAAGAAGAAGAAGAAGAAGAAGAAGAAAAAGAAGAAGAAGAAGAAGAAGAAGAAGAAGAAGAAGAAGAAGAAGAAGAAGAAGAAGAAGAAGAAGAAGAAGATGTGGTGGTGGTGGTGATAATGGAAGTAGAAGTGGTAGTATGATTCCCGTGCCTCCATATAGACAAGAATAAAATTAGAGCATGGAAAGCGAAACACTAACAAACGTAGTAGCAGCAACAACAGCGAGTAGATAAAATGTAATAAACAATACAGACAATGTATTGATTGGAACTCTTAGAAAGAAGTAGACAGATAGAAGAACATACTAGACAACATACAAATCGTAAGCTACAGTTACCGTGCCGGGGATCTAACCGGTCACCTTGCGTGCGCAAGTAGAGAGAAGGAAGATGAAGAATCAAGGGGATGATGAGAAGGAGGGGGACGGAAAGGACGATGATGAGGAAGTCAATCACTAACCTGAGAACAACCCTCCCATGAAGCAAGGGACACCACCCAACAGGGTTGCCATATTGGCACTTTTTATGCCAGATTTTACAAATTTGGCATACTTCAAATTAAACTTGCATAAGTTAATGAACTGGCATATTTTGGCATATTTAGGATTTTCCTTGCTTTTCATATAAAGATGCGATCACATTTGCTTCATGGTTCCTGTTAGAAACACGCAGATTTACAAAAAGCAATGTAGACTTACGGTTAACATCTTTGTTTTAGTTTGACTTTGTTGTGATGTCCTATTACGGAATAAGGGAGATTCGCACCATTTCTTGTTGTATTTGTTGTCTTCCAAAACGGATCGTGACTACGATAAACAAAGGCCCTCTGTAATTTATGTTAATGTACTAAAATAAATGTGGGATATAAAATCAAAACCCACCACTGATACCAAGTGATTCAGACTGTTCAGAAACTACTTGAGGACAGAAAATAGAGAGGATATAGACCTAGTTCTATCTGTGTTTATTACTTTTACCAATGGCCACGTCATCCAAAAAATGGAAAGCATATTATGACATCGCAAGTATAATAATAGTAACTGAATGAAAACATACCCACGGCTCAAAAGATCTTCAGACGAAGCAGAGGCAGCATAGTGCAAACTGTGTCTTTGCACTGTTGCACCAAGAATTAGTAGCATATCAGTTCACGAAAAATCCGAAAAAATGCAGGATGAAAACTCTGTCAAAAAGACAGTCACAGCTTATTACTACAATGAATCCTAGGCAAAGTTCACGAAAAATCCGAAAACAATTCAGGATAAATACTCTGTCAAAAAAGACAGTTACAGCTTATTACTACAATGACTCCAAGGCAAAATAACGATAGCATGCATGCATGCATGCATGCATAAAGTTAAAGGAAGAAGAGTTGCAACCTGCTGTAGGCATGACCTGCCATTGTGCAATACGCACAATTGATCATCTAAGTGAAATCACAAGAGCACATGGTCGGGGGAGTACATTGGAGCACATACAGTTACATATAACTAAATTTTCCTGCCAAATTAAAAAATATAATATCGTCTGCGCTTAAGGATGGCCTTTATTGATGATTTTCGGAACAAGAAATATGCCATCATTATAGATGAGTTGCAAAGACTTCCTCCCATCTGAAAAAATGCTTTAAGATTTTAAATCCGAAAAGGTTTTCACTGTATCTTCCACTGGTTCCAGTGAGGATGAATTCAATCCAGAGCTTTTGATGTGAAGTGAGTACAAAGTTACACTTTATTTGGCATTTCTCTATCACATATTGGGTAATGGTTTGGCATAAAAGGGAGTTTTATATTTGGCAACCCTGCCACCCAAGCTTTTCCCATCACGTGACACAGCAGCCAGTCACGTGAATCTCACTTGCAAAAGTGGCCGCTGACGACCAAAACACGATCATCTAAACCTCTTGCTGTTTTCTTCTCGAAATTCATTCTTCCAGCTTCACATTCATTCACTTCTGCTGTTATCAACTTGAAAATATCCACCATTATGAGTTTGTACAGTTTAAAGTCTATGTTAATTGTGGTTTTGTTGGTTGTAGCCGCTAGAAGTGGTGTGGACGGATTCAAGTTCCCTGACAGGTTGGGAAGAGTTGTGGAGGAGGAGCTGAAAGATCATCTACCCGTCGATTTTGTGAAGAAGTGGACACGACTTAGCCCTGCTGTAAAACATATGGCTATTGACTTGCCGCTGACTGAGATTTTACCGCAAGAAAAGAAACAGGTCAGTCCTGATGGCTCTGTTGTGTTGTGGTTAATCCGTTTTGTTATTTGGAAATAATTACTGGAGTATTTTAGTATTCACTTTCAAGTTAATTAATGATGACAGACAGTGCAGGGTCTTCTCGACTTACGACTAAGTTCTGTTCCGACTAACAGGTTGTAAGTCGAATTTATATTTTTTGAACACTATTATAAAATTGTACATAAAACAGAAAAAATGAATTCGATCTTTGTCACAATGACGATAATGGGCTATCCTCCGAATAACGGTCCTAAATTATCTACGCAGAAAATGAACCCGAACAGAGCCTCAGTCATATCTAAAATTTGCATTTCTTTTGTGGCGAATCATCTGTGTCAAAAGTAGGGTTAATTGCGCACGAAATTTTCGCGAAACGCAACAGATTTTTTTCCCGACGATTAAACGGCGGCAAAACTAGGATTAACTACGGATGAAAACCATTTGCGAAACGCAAGAATACACCCGATAGGGCTATCCTACGGCAAGGCCTCAGTTATATGTAAGTTGCGAACCACTTTCCGGCGACTAAAGTGACACCTTCGAGAGTATCCCCCGCGCGACACGGAGTGGGCTAAACTTGACGGTTGGAACTCACGAGCAGCAGCTACCGCTTCTCCTGCAGCTTCCTCCATTGTATTTGCTCGTGAGTCCTAGCCATCTAGTTTAGCCCCTTCTGCGCGTAGCCGCGCGGGGATACTTTTGTAGGTGGCACTATAGTCGCCAGAAAAAAAGTCGTACAATTTACATGAGCTACTTCTTCCGTCGCAAGTACAGGCGTGGTCACATTCGCCACGATCACTGGGTTGTCGGGCTAGTGGAGCGCCATAGTGGCCGCTGCTGGTTTGAAGTTGTCCCGAGGCGAGATGCGCGTACATAAGACCGCGTCATTACTGATCACGTGTTGCCCGGAATGAGAATTGTGACTGACGCTCGGCGAGGCTAGAGCAACATTGGGAAATTAAAGCATGGCATTTACGACCACGCCATATTTAGCGGAGTTCCAAAGGCAGCACAGCAAGATATTCGGACACTATTTGCAACTTCTGTGCCACAATTTTCACATATAAAGCATTTAATTATCGGTAAGTAGTAGACTTCCCCTTTTTCCCCATACTATTCGTTCCTTATATTTTCCGAGTTACAACTTTTAAATCATTGTAGGGAATGACGTAATGAGGCTCTGTTCGGGTTCATTTTCTGCGTAGATAATTTAGGACCGTTATTCGGAGGGTAGCCCGATAATGTAATCGCTCATGATGTGAAAAATACACACTGTGTATACTCTGTTGCATCAGTTGTGGTACCATTTTTACCCCAACCAGTGTTATCTTTCTTTCTTGACTTTTGTGTGTGTGTAGTGGTAAGGTAAGTCAGTAAGTGCAGATATCAGTACACAATATTGATAGCTGAAAATGCAAATGATGATCTACAAGAATTATTGGACATTGGCACTTATGGTGAAAAAGAGCGCAAAAAAAGGTCTGTACTTGAACATAAAGAAAACTGAGGTTATGTTTATATCAAAGAAAAATACCACAGTATGATATTAGAATAGAAGGTACTAAAAAGTTCATTTAAAAGGAGACCCAAAAAATCAAATATCCAGGTAGTCATAACATCAGACGGAAGATGTGTGTCAGAAGTTTGGTTGTCTTCCGTATAACGGTCCCAAATTATCGAGGCAGAAAATATACCCTAACAGGGCCCAGTCATGTGACGCGCACTTCCGGGGACTATAACTGCACCGCTGAGAGTATTCCCCCGCCTCATGAGCGGGTCCACCAGTCTGTCGTATTTGTTGTCCACCAGTCTGTCGTATGTGTTGTCCACCAGTCTGTCGTATAATTTGTCCACTAGTCTGTCATATGTATTGTACACCAGTCTGTCGTATGATTTGTCCACCAGTCTGTCGTATGATTTGTCCACTAGTCTGTCGTATGTGTTGTCCACCAGTATGTCGTATGATTTGTCCACCAATCTGTCATATGTTTTGTGCATAAGTCTGTCATATGATTTGTGCACAAGTCAGTCCTATGATTTGCCCACAAATCTGTCGTTTGATTTGTCCACAAATCTGTCGTTTGATTTGTGCACTCAGCAACAGTCTTCACATCCTGTATTTACCACATTTTAGAGAGCTGTCGTAGAGGAGGCCACTCTGTCATCCGCTCCTGTTTGTCTACTACTTATTTGCATTTATTTGTTTAGTTGGAAAGTATTAAGCTAACACACAAAAATATTGTTTATTCAAATATTGTTTTCTCCATTTGACAGACAGTTCAGGCAACCCCTAAGGTCAAAGACGTTGGGTTCAGCTGGAAATCATGTGGCCCTGCGGATCAGCTTGTGGAAATCCGCAACTTGACAATCTCCCCATCACCGCTGTTCTTTCCTGGCCCATTGACTTTTGGCTTTGATATTCTGTTCCATGATTCAATCCCTGAAGATGCCAGAGTGTCAGTGAGTAGGCAATGTCATATTTCTTTTTTATTTGTATGTGTTTTTGTGTGTGGATGAGTTAAGAACCAGTATTATAGCACACAGGACATTTTCAGAAGCACTCTGTCTCCCACCTTCAACAGCAGGCGTATAGTTCCAGTTCTGATCATACAAGTAACATTCTAATTGTATGTCTGTGTCACCCTTCTCTGAGTGGTAAGCATCGACCAGATTCCCTGGTCACTCCTTGCTGACCATTCTCTTCAGATCATGACTTTACGCCTCCGGACTGTTTACTCGTTTCCAGAGGGTCTTGATGACAGCGCTAATGGAGAAGGGTGTCTGTCCTTGGTTGGTGAATGGATAACACCTGTTTTGTATTCTTAACTGTAGCTCTCCGCCTGGGTTCATAAACCTCCGAACCAATTATAGCCCCAGGACTATCACAGGGATTGGCATTTTCACCTATGCTGTTCAGTGTGTTTATGAGCAAGATTGCGGAACTGAAAACACCAGGAGTTGGTAGAATATTGACATTCGTAGATGACATTTTCACATATAGGCAGGGTAGAGACTGGAATCAAATTGCTCAAGAGTTACCGACAAAAGTAGATAAGGTAATCAACTGGTGTACAGAGGTGAGTGCTGTAATCAACCCAAAAAAGGCAATCATCCTTTGGTGTTCTTTAGACAATAGGATTGTTAGAGCTGATTTTCCAAGACTCTAAATAAATGACAGGGACATCAAGAGAGACAGCAGACTGTGGTACCTGCGAATCGCCTTTGACAGAAGCTTGTCTTTCAGGGATCACATAGAAGTTTTTGTGTCAAAGGCCCAAAAATGTCCTAATGCACTACAGATTATGGCAGTGATGGACATGGAGAAGAGAATGCTGTTCACACTTTGCTGCTCACTGTCTCGAAGAGTAAGCTAGAAAAACTGGAACGCATACAGAATGAAGCTGTGCGACTGATCCTGGGTTGTACAAGAGACACCCCGATTGTGTGCATGCGATACATCCTTGCATTGCTGACTAATGCAGATAGACTAGAGGTGCTGCAGGCTAATTCATACCTCAGAGTAGCTGCAGACAGGGAACAGCCTCTGTATGTAGATTTGGATGCAGTTGAGCATCAGAGGCTGAAAAGGGAAAATCATGGATGGCTCAAGCAGAAGACACAATAAGACAAGTATGCCTGCTGAAGAACATTGGGCAAGGAGAGGAGTGAGTCAGAGTACCAGCGAAAAAGTGTGACCTATGTAGGGTCATATGATCATATTAGGCCGGGAGTTTAGGGTTAGGGGGTAGGGTTACTGAGGTGGAAGTCCACAGTTGATTCACGAGAATTCTCGTCCAGGTGATCTAATTATCTACGAAGATAGTTCTGTGTGGAGAGGGAAGAGAAATGCCTAGGGTTTGGTCACGAAAGCCAATGGATGATCTTTAGTGCAGGACAGCCTGGCATTTAATACCACAATATCTAGCATGAGAGTGGAGGTGGAGGCAGTCACTGCAGCTTGCTGGTCGCTAGATAACAAGATATTTACAATGTTGTAATTGAAACGGACTCTGAAGCATGCTGAAAAAGGTGAAAACAGGATTGCTTCGAGCAGAGTGGCATGCTTTACTTGCAAGAGTGAGCACACTTTTGATATTTTCTCCTGGCTATGCCTGCATGGTGTGGAATGAACAGGCAGACAGATTGGCTGGATCTGCACCGCTAGCTGATGAATTGATACATGACATGGCAGATGTGGTCAGAGCCCTTTGTGAACAAGTAACCAATTCAGAAGAGAATCCAGATTATTATGGGCCGGAGAGAATGTTGCACCTCGGTGTGACTAGAAGGTTCGGCCGGCACACTACACATAGAGGAAAGGCAAGACGGAGATACAAGCAGACTACAACCGGCAATACTAGTATTGGAACTCTGCGCTGGCTGCTGAGAATGGGGACGGAGCACATATGTGAATGCCCCAGGTGCTGTGATGTTATTTCTTGACTCCCCCGTGTGGGTTCCGGGGCCTCCCCAAAGGCATGTCGTAAGAGTCGTCTAATTTGGGAGCTTCCTTTGAAGTCAGAGTGCATCTGCCGGAGAGGCAAGGAACCAACAGTCTGTATTCAGGAGAATGAGATCTGTAAAACTGATGCACACGCAACACTCAGGTTCTGGAGCAGGACGGCAGTTCAGTAGTGGACGAGCAACCAGAACCTTTTACAGCTGGTGAACGCGAAGAAGAAGAAGTAGATTTCTTGACTCAGGTCAACTCCTAAAGGGTCCTTATAACATCTAGCTTGTCATGCATCAGTTTACCGCCAAGTGGTGCAGTACCAGCCAATCTATCTGGCTTCATTTCTCAACACATTGACGTAGCCTGGAGAAAATTTCCAGTGCACTAACTACCTGAGACCTCGGAAGTGATGCTTGCCGCATGACTAGGTGTGTAGATCCAGGTGGGGGAGGTTAAGTGCAGGTTTAATGATCTCAGCTTGATTCTTCTCAGGATAGAAACAGACTGCTGTATGGTTGGTTATCCATGTGTCATCTCTGTATGACATATCCTTGTGACATCTTCTTAACTCTTGTGACATAGTATGACATGTAAATTTATGTTATACATGCAGATTTGCTCTCTTCCATTTTATCCCAGGCAGTCCCTTAATATCATGGAATGAATCCAGTCCAGCACCTTTGGCTTTTCTTAAGTGTTCACTTTAGGGTTTCTCTTAGATGTCCATGTGTTTCCTGTTTCAGTACCTGTTTGATGGTTATCTGCTTGATTCTTAGGATACACATTCTACTGTAATCCACGTGGCGTCTCCATATGAAATTTTCAAAGCTGCTGTGACATAACATTTAACATTTATGTTTTACAGTCAGATATGCTGCTGGAATACAGTGGACGGACAGGAACCTGGGTGAAGATCCCATGTATCGGCCAACTGGGGTCTTGCACCTATGAGGATGTCTGCTCAATGTCCCAGGCCATTGTTTGCCCTGATGAACTCAAGAAGAGGGGGATCCCTTGTACATGTCCTATTGCCAAGGTTGGTATGATCCAGTTAGAAGTATGCCTGTTGATCCCTTTTACAGCTAGGAAATATGGTACATATGTTTTTTTGTTTGTTTTATAAGAGTACAGTAAAAACTTTGAATAACTGACAATGTCCGGACCAAGGCTGTCCATGGATCAACAACATTAAAGACACTCCGCCTTCACGGCCTGACAATAGCCAGTGGCAGCCAGCGTGCACTGGATCACAAATTATTCCTCCCCACGATGCCTAACGGCAGAAGTGGTTTATGATAATGAAAGGTTAAGAAGAAGAAAACTGTGCAGTATGTTGTTTGTGTCTGCTTTGTTCAAATTCATTTTTTTTTTTGTGCACACCTTTTTTTCCCCTCTGCTGTTTGTCATTCTGATAATATGCCCCATCCATTCCGGCCTGTTAGCCCGTATGACGCCAGTAATTAGTGGTGACTGAAACCAGTGTTTCTCAACTTTTTATGCTTATGGACTGGCACAACAGGGGTGATTGTTTTGCAAACCACCTGATGGTTAACCATAAACAAAAGGAGATGTAGATTTTTGTTTTGTTATTGTTAAATCCAGTGTCACGATTTTATAATTTGCAAGTAAAGAGATATTTGCTCTGCTTAGTGGTTAAAAAAATCTTACCTATATTTTGCATACAAGGTCTCACTTGCTGTGTGGCAGTGTAGTGCCAGAATTATGTAACTGCTACATAAATAGGTATACTTGGTGCCCCATCCAGTCAGCTCTTTAGTTAGTTAGTCAACAGACTTTCCTCATTGCACATAGAACCAGTCAGTCCATAAGTGCCTTGGTCCCCACCTAATGTAAATCTTGCAGCGTTTAGCACCTAACGTAACCAGTTCTCTTTTGGTTTCTTATTCTTCTTTGGCTTCCTGCATAGTGCTCTTTTTTTGGCCACACCCCTTTTAACTTGCTGTTTCTGTAGCCTTGGCATAGTTGCCGATTTACGGTCATCACTTGCTTCTTGCAAACGTCTCATTGCTTGTACAGCATTTAGTCAACCAGCCTGGTCCATTAGCTTCTCCTTCTTTCATAGTAGACTTACCTGCAAGCCTATCAGATTGCTTATTTCCTTGCACGGCTGCATGGCCTGGTATGAAAATGAAACTGATATTTATCAGCCCTGACCGCCTCAGAGACACCAACCACTGTCTTCAGACCCAGCCCATCTCTGTCTTCCTAAACAAACTCATTGAATCTAAAAGTATTTAGTTGAAAGTGAATTTCATTGTTACTTCTCACTCTCCATTGGTTTTATTTTACATGACATGAATGGGTTTGTTTCTTCCGCAGGGAGAGTATGTTCTTCCCAGTTTTGAAGTGGATGTTCTGGCTTCCGTTTTCCTGTCAGGTGACTACCGAGCACAGGTCACCTTTAAAGACAGCACCAAGGGCCAGATTGCTTGCTATAATGTCACATTTACAGTTGGTTAAGGAAGGAGGTAACATTACAAAATTTAACGACAGTCATAAAATTAGATGTCATCAGTTAAAGAATGACAGATTAAAATTCTCATGTTGTTCAATGGACTATTTGAATTTAAAAATGGGCTCACACCTCTTCCTCCACCCCATTTTTTTAACTTAGCTTAGTGAGAGCTGTTTCATTCTAAGTCAGTCTGCATTAACCTAATAAGCAAGGAACCAGCAGTCTGCATGCAAAAAAGCATATCTGTAAAATGATATGCAGAACTAAGTTATGAACAGGGCCAAAGTCCAAAATTGGACAAAAACCAGAGTTTGCAACTGATGAGTGCCAAAAAGACGATTAAGAGAATAGTTACTGAATTTACGTGTGTATAAGTCTCAAGATTTTGGCGAAAAGTTGTCAGTGAAAAACAGGGTGCAACTTATATTCAAGATATTAAGCCCACATGTCATTTGTACAAAATGTATTATTGAATGAGACTTTCATCTGCATTTCCACTTGTTTCCATGCCGTGATTGTGTGTCTTATGTAACTTCAGAACATATCTTTGAAATCAAACTCTTTTCTTGGTAGGTGCTGGGAAATCGCTGGGCCATTGTTGCCCGCCACCGAATCACAAGGTGATTGTGTGCTCTAGCCAAAACTGATTTTAAATGCACTTGCAAGTAGCACACAACTTGTAGCTTACATTCACAACTGTAACTTGTTCTTATCTGGCGCATCTTTTTCTGCTTACCAAAATAAATCTAAATAATTAATTGTTCCTAAAATTATTGCCTCAGAAACTAGGTTTGGTCTGTATGCACGTGCGTTCTGCACACGTGTGCAGCCTATACTTGTGTAAATATTTTGTGTGGTTTTGCTAGGAATTTACATTCAATAGTTGCCAGATGGGGCAACTAATAGTAATTAATATTAAACTATGATTACAAAAATTTCTGGAGGTCAGCAGGAATTAAAACTAATACTAAAGTTGAAATGTTTAATTCTGATGTGAAATCAGTGCTGCTGTCTGATAGAATCAGTGCTGCTGTCTGATAGAATCAGTGCTGCTGTCTGATAGAATCAGTGCTGCTGTGTGATAGAATCACTGATGCTGTGTGATAGAATCACTCATGTTGTCTGATAGAATCACTGATGTTGTCTGATAGAATCACTGATGCTGTGTGATAGAATCACTGATGTTGTCTGATAGAATCACTGATGTTGTCTGATAGAATCACTGATGCTGTCTGATAGAATCACTGATGCTGTCTGATAGAATCACTGATGTTGTCTGATAGAATCACTGATGCTGTCTGATAGAATCACTGATGCTGTCTGATAGAATCACTGATGCTGTCTGATAGAATCACTGATGTTGTCTGATAGAATCACTGATGTTGTCTGATAGAATCACTGATGTTGTCTGATAGAATCACTGATGCTGTGTGATAGAATCACTGATGTTGAGCTTTGGGAGAGAAATAAACAAGTTCTAGTGGACCAAGAGGTGAAGAAAAGACGCTAGCATTGGATAGGACAGCGTTGAGAAAACTTGAGAAGAGCATAACTAGAATGGCTTTGCACTGGAACCCACAGGGCATAGAAATAATGGCAGACCACAAAATATGGAAAAGGGAGCTAGAGAGCGAAGGTAACAAGATGGGGACATGATGTGAGCTGCTTAAAATAGCAAAGGATAAAACAACTTGATGTGAGTTGGTTGAGTGCCTGTGCTCCATTGGGGGACAGAAGACGAATTAGTTTGCCAAGACTTTGTGAACGGTCAGCTCTCAGTACCATTGTTGAAAATGAAGCAGAGCAGTCTGCTGCCTAATTGTCTGTAGCTGAAATCAGTCTAGAGATCTTAGTTACATACTGCCTTCAAAGCCCCTAAGCTACATAAAAATATGTATTGACTCCTGTCGTGACCTCTATCACTGAGGCTATGGGGAGTTTATGACATCAGCTATGAGAGCTATTTTGTTCAAGGACAAGAAACCACTCTGAATGTTATTTGAAGTAAATATATTAGTATCCTGAGCTTCTAAACGCTGCATAGGTGTGTAGGCAGCCAGTAGCATTAATTATGCGTCACGATGGAGAAGTCAGAAAAGTGACATTTACAGGAGATTGGAGTCAACTGGAAGTGACGGTTTTGCGGCTTCTCAGAATAACAGGATTAAGGCACAGTTTGATTGCATCATGTCACTGTCACTTCTGGCCAATGTATCTGCTATCTAGAAATAGCCAATCTGCCTTCTTGCTGTACTGACACCCAACCCTGCCATTCCCGATTTAATTATCTTTGGGTTTCTCATGCATTTGTTCTCTATTATTGGCAGATTCTTTTACCACACATTGTATTAATTCATACTTTCATTTGTCATTCCCCAGATAACCTTCTGAGATTGAGACTGTCTACAAAACAAAACACCAATGCTGTAGAATGTTTTTCTTTTTTGTTATTGTTGTTGCAGGTGTATTTTTAATTTAATGTGTTATTTAGAAATCATAGAGTTTTGTCACTTTTCTTTTCCTTCCAGCATTTGCAAGATCTGTTAGTTAAATGGGCAGGAGTTATTGATTTGCCTCCATCATTTTAAACATTTGTTTAGGAACAAAAATCAAAGTCTGTTAAACTCAAGTGTTGTTGATATATTGTTTCCCCAGGATGATCATACCTTGAGATACCATTGATTTTGAGTTATTTTAATCATGGTAGAACTGGAATTGTCAGTTGATTTGAAATGATGAAAATAATCGTACACCTTCAAATCTCTGTTCATTTAAAAATCATCAAAATCATGACGTGTATCTTAAAATTCAAGTTATTTTTCAGTGTTGAAAGTAATCGTACATCTGAAAGATTGAACTTATTTTTCAGCAATGAAAATTTGAGTTATTTGTCAATGGAAATAATCCTACATTTTAAATTATCACCTTATTTTCAGTGATGAAAATCATGATAGATCTCAAATTGTTGAATTAAAAATGTCATAGCTCCCTACTGCCCGGCGACCTCACAGAAAATCCTTCGTGGTCCATGAGTTGGGAAGCGGTGCTCTAGATAGAGATGTATGTGCTTCGTTTGCTTCTTGATTGGTGCTCAGAGGGTCAGTCTGTGAAGAGGGAAATAATCATGTATGATCAAATGAAGTTGATCTTTTTGCCTTCATACATGCTCTCTATCCACCTTAACTGAATTCTTCCTTCTTTCTTTTTTGTTTTTCCCAGCTGCTTATGCCATGAAGAATCACAAAGATGAGTTAGATATAGTTTTCTTACTTTAATTCATTGCCTAGCTTCTGTTAATGTCATATTGCATTTTCTGTAGTATCTCTTTTACTTCATCCACACATGTATTTCTTGGTCTGCCTCTTGACTTGTAGCCTGCTGTCTCAAATAGTGCACTCTAGTTGCTGGCTGATTGTATTCCATTTTGACCAGATGATCCAAGCATTTGATTCTTTGATAATCAGAGAACTTCTACTTCATCAGCATTTACCCTTCAAAGGGCAGTTGCTTTGGAGTTTACAGCAAGGCCGATATCTGTACTTTTAGCGCAACATATCCATGTCAGCAAACCCGTAATCTGGCTATCCCCTGAATAACGGTCTCAAATTATCGAGGCCAAAAATATACCCCAACAGGGCTTCAGTCAATTGCCAACTTCCGGGGACTATACCGCCAAATTGCGGACTTCTGGGGACTATACTGCCACCGCCAAGTTGCAGACTTCGGGGGGATATGCCACCACCGCCGAGAGTATCCCCACGCCGCTTACGTGGTGTGGATTGGAGCTCACGGGCAAATGAAATACAGGAAGCTGCAGGAGATGCAGTAGCTGCTGCTCATGAGTCCCAGCCGTCTTGTTTAGCCCCAATCCACGCCGTGCAAGCGGCGTCAGAGATACTCTCGGCGGTGGCAAAAGGGCGCAATTCAAGTTGCCGGAATTCCGCAATTGACACATGACTGTGGCCCTGTTAGGGTATATTTTCAGCCTCGGTGATTTGAAAACGTTATTTGGAGGATAGCCCGTAATCTTTTGCTTTTTATGACCTGCTTCTTAAGGAGCAGTGGGTCTATTTCTTTTTACCCTCAACCCACAAGAAAAAGTTCATTTTTAAATTAACATATAAGCTGTCTCATTAAGTGTAGCCTTGCAAACCTTGACACACATCCTCGCAAGTTACAGAGGATTTTATTTAAAACACCAGGTTATATTGTAAACGTCATTTTTCACAAAAGTGGTTTCATTTGTTCTTGCAGCCAAATGGTTTTCCTGGGCAACCTTTTTTTCTCTACATTGTTTGATAAATGTGTGGGCTTTTTTTGTTTTAAATGTGATAAAAATTGGAATGTCTCAGCTGTGTCAAAGGAAATTTTGTTTATGGCGTTGTTTTTTTTTTTTTTTTTGGTCACCCGCCATGGTTGCCTTTAAAAAACATGAGTAGCCTTGCAGCAAAATGCTGAGGGTGAACAAAGATCAGGAATCCACAGAAAATCCTAAAGTATTGAAGAAATATATCTGTGCTTTTTTGTATCACTGTGAATGTATCACTGATTTGGCTTATCATAGTACTACAATTCATGAGCGATATAAGTAAGGGGTAGATCTTTTCAGATGTCATTATCATAGCCCTTGATTGGCTGTGAAGTTTCCTGACATTCCATCCCATAATTTTGTATTATGTACCTTTCTCTTTGCTTGTGGCGTGTATGCCCACAATGATGGATCTGTGAGTGCCTTTATTATAATTGTTTTCACGTTTAACTCTTGAGCACTACTTTTAACTGTAGAGAAGAAACAACAACATTCTGCTTGATTTGAACATCAGAGGAACTTGCTCCTAAACAGCAACACATCTTGGACAAGTTAAATACTTTCTACTCCTCATGTGGGTTGCGGGGACCCACAATGCTGTGGGGGGGGGGGGAGACCCGCTATGTAAAAGTCTTCGATGTAGGTGTGTTTCCTTCAGAGACTGAGTGCATCTGCCCGAGAGGCAAGGAACCTGCA